TCCTTTCGATGCCACGAGATCGCCAGCTAATAAACCTCGACTTGGTCCATTAACTGTCTTCTGGTATTCGGCTTCTCGGGGATTTTATGGAGTCATTTGGAACGAGCTTCTTACGCCTTCTGATTTATTTGGCACGTGTTTCTTGGTAGCGGTGTTCATAGTTAACCTCAACTCGACGCCACGCTACAATTGGTAATCCCAACTCGTCTACACATGAGTCAAAGACATTTAAATTTAGTATTTGGCAAATATAAGTTTATTTATATCCACATTTAAATCTGAGTGTACGTGTTACTATCAATCACTTATTTTTTCAAGCATCGCATCACAGCGAAATAAACATACAGCTTATCAAGCTCTAAATTAACTTGGTGAGACACAAAAGTCGTTGATGTTATGATTAAGCTGACTGGAAGTTTGATAAATTTTTACGAAATCAACAAAGTATTTGGATTCTATCATGCCCGCAAACTATAATACTCCATTGATTTATCTTTGCGTTTGCACATATATGTGGGCTTGTTTGAAAAAATTATTTTACATGAAATAATCTTTTTTCTTATTCCCAAATATAAGCCTGTCATCTTGACTTGTAAATCACCAACGTCGGTGATTTTTGTCGATGATTAGGGGCCTACTCAAGTTGGACAGAAATGGTTTGACCAAGCAGCTCGCATCGACGCCGCACTTCATGTTCAATATCCAAGATGGATCAACCATTCATTGTTTTCAGGTCCATAGCTACCTTGATGACCATACAACACGAACAACGGAAATTTATTAGTAACAGTGTGTAGAAGGTATGGAGCGACATCGCCGTCACCTAGGCCAATCGACAAAGGATAAAAGCTTGCTTGGGATTGAAATTGCAACCTTTTTATTTCAGAGTTTTTAGTCTGCTTGCATCAAGGCTAGTATTTAATATTTGAAGTGCCTGACGTCATTGGAGTGTTTGTGGACTAGCTTAACTTGGTAAAACGTGCGCCTTGAAAGGATATGCATATTTCAGAAAACGCCAAATGACATGTTGTCCGGATTCCAGATGATTTCGCTAAGACCCTGTAGCGGTAAATAAATCCCCAAAATAAATAGCACTAAGTTTTCGACATTGGATGCTGAACATATGTTTTAGTGGACTCATCTAGCTGAAGGCGCTCGGTCATGCATCCGCACCAGATCACGTGTGGTAACGCCGTGCTCAACATCAACCGCAATCGCTAGCCAGATTAGATCAGAGAATTCTGATATATTGGTCATCGCCAAATATACTCTTCCGATCTCCTCGACTCTGTCTTTTGATTTCTCTGGGCGGGAACGAAATATATTAGAAGGTGTTACTGGTAGAAGCGTTGTCAAACACTGAATACCTGTGGCATCATCAGCCCAGTAGCATTACGTTGGCATCACAGACTTTTTTGGTTGCATATTACATTGAATCTTTGGTCATAGATAAGCTTACCTTTACTTATTTTGAGTGCAGTTTGTATGGTTTTAACAGATTGTTTTACTGGACATGCTATCGAAATTCCTTCCTCATACTAGTTAAGTGTTGTCACGAACGAAAGGAACCATATCCATTAAAAATACTGAAATTTAGACGACTACACTTAGTCGAAAGACAACTCTCCTTGTTAATCAAAAGTCACCCATCTAGACTGACTGTAATTGGAAAATTCAATGTGCCTCACTCGTTCTATACTCTGAGTCTACTTTCAGATATTCTATGATTTCAAACGAAAACCTGCAACTCAACATGAAGTCTTTATTGTGTTCCAACAGGTATTTAATTGCTCTGCGGTAGCTTAAATAAGTAGGCGTTCAGTAACAATTGAACTTCAATCTACGTAAACCGATTACATCGGGATAACGTCTTGCCGTCTAGGAGACAAAAACATGTTGTAACTAGGATCCTTATGTGGCGACAAGCATCCAACCCAAATAACTAATTCTAATAAGATGGTTGGTTGCCTAGAATTCACGCTTCGAGTAATGAGAGCATAATTGAAACTTGACAAATAATATTGGAACGAGAAAATATCCTCACAAACATTTACATAATGAAAGAGGACTTCAACTTAGGATTGAATGAAAGAACCACCAAAGAGGTCAAATAAAGATCCTAACAATATCTGGTGCCCTAGATTTATAACGAGACCATACATTACCAGTTGTTGTTCAAGTTATAAATTCAGATAGCCATTTTCCTGCAGGATAAGTTTGAGCAGACGTTAGGAGTTTGCCGTTTTCTCAAGATCATAGAGATATTTGCTGAAGCGAGTCACAACTTCAGATCTAATGCTATAAATAGTTCATATATACAAAATTAATAGGACTAGGGAAGATTGTGTGTGAACTAACTTGTAGTGTAGGTTACTGACCAAGTATGTTCCACTTAAATCACTTGTATTCTTCCAAAGCTGGCAAACGATTTTTCATAACGAATATTGAAGCATACTTCCAAAGAAACCATAGCTTAATCGTGATCAACAGTGGAAAGCCTTAATCTGTGAACGACCGATCGTGATGAAAGCCAGCTTGCCGTTATATAATACGGGATCTACACTGTTTTAAACTTATTCTGGCATTGATAGTAGCGTAATCTCTGTATTGTACGCACATGCCAAGACTTTATATCAGCGAAATCTTGACGAAGTATTCCATTTTCCAGTTATTCGGTATTTCTGTAATGGCATTAGACCCCAACTGCACGATATTTGAAGCCGGGTTTATAATTTTTGAAAACATTAATATTCAACGATTGTCACGAAAAGGTTAACAATGGAGAACACGGGAACATTTATTTATTCAATCGGATAGCATCGCTCGGCCTCGCAGACATGGTCGTTTTGTGTGAGCTGTCTTTACTCTCATTAAACGAACTATTCTATTTTTAGCCTAAGTGTGTTCTTCATAAGCTCCAAACGTTTCCGCGCGTATTGTTACGATAAGACGAGTCAGAAGAGAAAGTGATATGACATGCACGTAAGATTGTATAGATTAGGCATTCATAACATGACATCTCTACAGTTTTAGAATTAGATCTATTATTATAATAGTACTGATAACGAAGTATACTATAATCCTTTGTTTCTTCTTCAAAAGTCCTTTCGAAGTAAGCGTATTGCAACTGTAACGAAATTTCAGTAGGAGCAAAAAGATTCGCATAACAAATAATTCTGTTCTGTCAATCTTTCTAGTCCATAACTGAAAGTGCCCGTTTAACCATATTCACCAGATCACGTTTGTATACACCGTTTAAGTAATCTTGTACAACAACCTGTCAGTTTACATTAAATGCTTCTAAACGTATCTTCAAGCATATCTTTGAACCGCTTTGTTCCTTACATCTAGTTTGACTGGCTTTTGGATCGTCGACTAACATGCCGTGACGAACAACGTTGTTGTGCAGCATAGTAGATCCGCAACATTTTTATTTCATTGTCGGATCTCGATATCTCAGTCTGTATACTTCTGAACGTTAGCTTCCTCTGCTCTTATTCAGGTGACTGTGACTGTTGTCTTCCTCCTTTTTCTTGACTAAACGTTAGTGAGGTAGACTGTAGAAGTCTATTTTTTATCTTAGCGCTTTTTGAGGTCCTATACCTCACATAAGTTCAAAGCCGTCTATTGGAGGGTTCCGAAATATTCCTTGAAAGAGTCCGGAGGGGCGCTAAAAACTCCGTGAAACATTTTGTCTAATCAGCGTTTGATAGAGATTTCAAATAAACATCTAGAAAGTAAAAAGTCACGAGTAACATTTCCAACTGGATGCTGACCTATCCTCATATTATTCTTACCATTCCAGAAACTCTTGGCCATCGGAAACACATCGATTTGCTGTTCATGAAGCAATCTTGTAATAAAGCATTCTTTTCCCACTTCGTGCAGCTTTTTATTGTTCAGTTTATCTTTCAGATTTACTCAATAGTTATCACAAGAGTTTAGGAGGACGATTCCGGTGTCCATTTGGGAGATTTATGCTTACCTCTCCATTATTACCTTTAAATATACTTCATTGTAGTTTTCTCTTATTATCATGTATCTTATAACCATTCAAACTTGCAGTTGATATCAATCTTGAACTAAGGCTTTCTCAGCTATCTTTCCTGTAAAATCTCCCACTACTTTCCTGATCTCTATTCGTATAGTCCTATATGTCTGGTATTCCTTAGTATGGTACAATAAAGATATATATCTTCGCGTATGTTAATGGAAATAATCCTGTTGCTTATAATCATCTTGACTATACGTGGATCTCCTTATCTTTCGTCACCCTCGTTTTTTTCTTAGTCAATGTTTCTCCATGATGTATTCACACTTAATGTTCTACGTCCTAACATCACTGTTCAGATAGCTTGTTAGGATGTTGTAGTGGTGAATAAATACTGTACGTCTTCGACATTGAGGTTGATCTAATTACTTTTACTGGGTACACCTAGCTGAAGGCACTAGGTCACACATCTACGATAGACCACGAATGGTTAGGCCATGGTACGTGACCCTCGTGACTACCTGCCAGCTTAGACCAAGCGCTTGCCGATAGCTCTTCAAATACGTCTTTGAACCCCTTCATTTCTGACTCTTGATTGAATTTCTTCGGCGTAATTCAACGAAAAAAGAGTTACGTGTAGAAGTGTTGTCAAACTACGAACACCTGTGACTTCTTTAATAACATTGTTTCTTCGTGAATTCTTCTCAAAGATGGACTGCAACCTCTCATGAGACTGATATTTATTACCATTACTGTTATGGCTTTTCACTATGTGGTCCGGGATGACATTCCTTTAAATCGTCCCCTCATTGCAACGAAAAATCATTTGATAATGGCATTCCCACATTTTTGTAGTCAGTGGACAGCCTTGCTTGTACTGTATTTTCCGTTTTATGGCCTGTGATCAGTCTTTTTGCTAAACGTAATGAAAAAATACAATCCATTTACGTTTTGGCACAGAGAACAGAATTTACGCGATAGGAAGTGTATATTGTTTAATGCCTTCAGATGCTGGACCTTGAGCGCGATGATATAAACGCGGACAGTTTATTAGTCAGGTGAAGATGTTAGAAGGAAGTGCTTCCAATGACGAAGTGAAGAAGACGTTGCCTCCTAAACAAACATTTTTGTCACTTTCTTGGGATTACTTTAAGTTGTTTCTGACATGCGCCTCCATTTACGGCGTAGGATATTTTCGACTTAGTACTACCTGGGTCTTGGTCGGGTCGCTTGGATACTTCGTTTTGCAACATACTAGAAATAAGCAGTCAAGGTTAATAAGCTCACTTAAAGCCATTGGAGAAGACGAAAAAGCATTCATAATCCAAAATTTTACCGTAAGAGATCTTCCGTCTTGGGTAGGCTTAACATCAATGAAATCTTATAATGTAAATTATTTACTAAGGTTTACTTTCCAGATGTTGAAAGAGCGGAATGGCTAAACAAAGTAATAAAGTCTAAAAATGAGATACTTTGTTAGGTTATTAAACGAATGTGGCCATCCATTAGTGAGTACGCGAGAGATATTATCGTTGCATCTATCGAGCCTGTCGTTGCACAAAATCTACCAACTGCACTAACACCTTTTAATTTTGCTACTATTGACTTAGGTGACACGGTAAATGGATTTTGTTAGTCATTTGTATTGTAGCCCCCCAGAATCGGTGGAGTGAAAGTTTATATGAATGAAAACATCAGGAAGGACGAAATCGTTATGGACCTAGACCTTATGTAAGTCCTGCTTTATTTAATGCTTTCACAGGCTATACAGTGATGCTAGAATCAAAGTAAACTTAGGAAAAGTCAAGGCGGGAGTGAAGGAGTTTGAGGTATTTTTTAATAATTCATATCTTTCAGGTTATTTAACCCTGTATATCTACACATTTAGTCTAAGTGGCATGTACCAAGTCTATAGCTGTCTAGCTAATTAATTTAAATGCCTCTAAATTGTTCTGGAGTTTTATATTTCGGGTCGGATAGTTCAGAGTATCCGTGTTCTTCGTCCAACTAAGAAAATTTTCACTCATCCAATTATTGATCCTAATGTTTATTTGAATGCCAACCAAGTATATAAGTATCAAACACCCTGTTTTACTCAATAAGAGTTAAATTCACAAGCAGTTTGTAATCCGGAGGAACGCCAGCTTTTCCATTTATATGAAACGTCAGAAAGACTAGAAGTTCCCTTAAAATCGTACTATCTTCCGAAAATTACTAAGACTGTCTAAGTGCTCTTATAGTATACTAAAAGCATCTTTGCACTAAATGAAATGCGATAGTTTTGACGAAAGTCTAACCGTCCTTTCATCAGAACTAAATTCAAATCAATTTCTCATTGATTTGGTATCGCCCTCCGAGGTAGTGACAAACAGCAACACACAAAGGCTTAGTAACGAACAACACAACTTACTTTAGTATCTTCAAACATATTCCATCTAGTTCAGCTAGTTTAGTTTTTAAGTTCGTTTAATAAGTGGACCTGAAAGAAGTCACCCTCTATTCTGTAGGTCTTGCAAAAGCAACTAAATAATACTCCTTCTTTTTGAAAGCTGTCTTCAGTAACTTTGCTGAAATATCACATAGTTCTGTGTTACACCAATTCGACCCTTATCCAGCTTCTAAACAAAAACAGTCATTTTAGACCTCTGGAAGAATCGAAATTAGTGTCCTCTTTAAGCATTTTAAAGTTATCTTTATTGTGAGTAAATTGTATTCTCTGGTTTTATAGTTTTTGCTCTCAAGGGCCGACAAATTTTTTATTAGATTGTTCAGTGTATTTGTTTTACTTATCAGGGTCATACCAACACGTAAACTTCCTAAGCCTCGTTGATGATTTCGAGTATGATCCTGTGGATAGTTTCATTACGAGAATAATGGGAATGTTTACACACACTAAAATAAGACAATTATATCGTGCATATTGCTATTCTTAAATACCATGCTTAGTATAATTGACTCCAAAGCGTTAGACAATGTGCAAAGAATAGGTACTTTAGCATGTACTCAATCCATTTTCTCAAACTGTTCGAAATAACAAGAAATGAATTCCAAGCTTATATTGTGCTTAAATTAAGGATGTGAAAGTGCAATAATTCCTTTCAGCTAACTAAAATTCGTGGACTAATTAAAGCCTTTGAAACTTCGGTTATTTGACTCCCAAGCTCGAATACAGCTTTGAGATCAAATGAGAAGTTTAAACTTGGTTTAAACGTAATTTTTCTCAGGAAAGTGCCATTAATCGTTCAAATATACTTCGGTGTTTTAGTAGTGACTACTAAACCGATGTTCAGGGATGGTGCTGATAATCAGATACTAGCTAAAATTGATAGACTTTTTTGATTCTTTAGGAAAGTTTTCATGAATGTCTACAGTTGGATAGTAAATACTAATGCTGTCATTCGTGAAACTAAGACCATATATTTATTATATTCTATTCAATTGATTAATGAAATATTTTTCACTTTCCATCTTTATTTCATTTGCAATGTAAGCTGCGTGGTACACTACGTGTCGTTATGAAGCCTTTAGTTCCAAAAGTCCCGTTCGCTGGTGCGGTTACTGTGTGCTTTCTGGATAGTCCAGTCAGTAATTATTGGTATATTTCTTTAGTTTCTGTACAATTGCAAACTTGTAGCATTCTATATGCAATCACGAATAAGTTGTTTAGACACCGCCTTTTGACAGTTTGGCTCATTCTGTTTTTTTTTATTGACAACCCAATAACGCCTTAGGAATCTACCCTGTATCTAACTGAAAATAGTTTTAGCTTAACCATCTTCTCTTTAACCACTATATTTGAAGCTGACTAGTACAGTTTAGTCGGAAGTCATAATTGAGAAAAGGACTGCTAAAGGAAATCCATCCACGTTTAGCAGTGTTAAGTCCAGAAGTTCATTTCAAACACCATAAGTCGACCTCACTGGGCTCTATAATGATACAGTTTTATATATTGGTATGCTTTTGTGGAGAAAATTAATATGCTACCTTGAAATCATCCGCCAACAGAAAAAGTTTACACACGCTGATTCAGTCTTAGTTATCGTTTATAGAAGCTATAAAGAGCACAAGACCTAAGACACCTTGCAGTACACCACCCGCCACCAGATGGGATGCCGACAAAAGGAATTTCGTTCCATCTTCTTGAATGTTTATGACGGAGAAAAGATTCAAGGCACCTACTCACTGAATATTTGATGCCGAGATACTAGTCTCCCGTTAGGAAACTGATATCCGAGATTAAGTCCAAAAAAATAGGAAGTTAAAGGAGTCAAAGTTACAGTTTACTTAAGATTTAAATTTAAGGAAACCATATTACTAATTAGTTATAAGTTCCTTAGCTGGTAAACAACCGGAAGTTTCTTGACGTTCAATTCTTTTCTATTAATCTATAGATTTCCACATGCCTGTATTTGTGCAAGTCATTCTTATCTCGAGATTCGAAACAATAATGTATATATTGTTTCTAGCGGTTATGATAAATGCTTACTTTCCGAGAAGTTTAAACAGTTTTAGTAGACGTACTAGAATATCAGGTCCGGTACAAATGAAGTAAATGGATGCGATTTTTACTATTCTACGGTTTCTTAAAACCTTAACGTAGGTTATGGCATTACCGATTTGGAAATAAGTTAAAGAAAATATTGTTTGTAGTTAATACTTTTGTGTATGACTTCTGATCTTATGTTATCTGAAGGTTCATAATTAATTACAAGTATAGTACTGGAAACGTTGGCAATTGTCTTGGTGTCGTTTATAAATGCACCGTCATTCACAACGCAAGGATTATTTGTATTTTATGACTCATTATTTATTGAATAGAAAACTAAGTTATGTACTCTGATGCTACCGTTTAGTACTAATAACTCTTCGTTAATGTCTTCTAATCTATAAGCTTCTTTAATTTGACTTAAAACTACAGTAGCTGGAAAGGTGCTACATAACTCTGGCTTATTACAAGTATCATGATCAACAAAATTTCGTATATTAAAATTCAAGATCTCATTAGCCTTCGTTACCATCAAATACTAATTCTGAGACTATCAGTTTGAATTAGAAGTTGATTGGCGACAAAATTCATAGGGAAATTAAGTTATATTTATTTGTCATGTCTAATTATTACTTCGATTCATATGAATAAATACATAACAATTTACAAAGTTTACCAAATCAGACTGTCCTATAGGAATTATGGAGATAGAGAGAAGCTCCTGTAATTTGGACGTTTAAATCACCATTATATTCTTTATTTAAAAAAGAAATGCTCCATAATTATTCTTTCCGTAGACAGTAAAAAATATATTTGGAATTAGTAAATCAAACGAGTTTACGATCAGCATTATATTATTCAACAAATCCTCATTAAAAATTTATAAATTTATTCACTAGACATTAGCTACTCATACATTCCTTTCCTCAACTCGTCATTACAAAGTGACTTCACACATACCATGTGGGAAATGTATCAGCTTGGTAAATCTCTTTTTCTGTGTTGTCTATTATTTATGGAAATATCAGTCAGTAACATTCATTTTTTATTTGAATTTTAGTATATCAATTTCTCTTTAACTGATATGGGAAATATCCTGGGACTCCCTGGTTTGCAGTGGGTTTACTCTAATATGTTATTTTTTCTAGTTTTCTTACTTTATATTGTTATTCTATTATGAGACGTTTTCAGAACACTTAATTATACGTCCTTTATTGTACATTTGACTCTGCATATGAATGAGTTGCAGTAGTCTGAACCTTGGCTTACTGACTATCACCATCCTTCTACCGTCAATAAATTTCTGTACACAAAAGCATGTACTAACGTTTCATAATCGTAACATGGTCAAGGTATTGAATGTTAGATTTGAGAGGACGAACAGTTGTTTGGTTACTTCGAGATCTCCAGCGCTGGTAGTCGGCATGAATTCGACGTAAGGGTCTTAATATAAATGAAAATTTATTCTTTAAGATGACCAGTAGTGCAACAGTGAAAACTGTAAGCCAGAGATTTCTTTAGGACTGAAAATTATTATTGCTTGGATCAACGTGACTAGATGAACACTTCGTTTAAGTAGATGTTAATCAAGCTGGACATCTGTCCGCTTTATCGTCGGACGATTCACTAAACAAAAAACAAATTCCAACCATTTGATCAAGTTGTACACAATTTATTGGTAAGCCTTAAAACTTCCCAAGTGTTCAGAAGCTTTGCAGTTTTTTCAATCAGTGTTAAAAATATGTGATAACAATGAGGACTCAATCACTTCGTAATCTATATTCGTCTATGTTGTTAGTTTAACTTTACAATAAAAAACTCATATAAAAGCTATAAACTGTTATTCGGCATTCACGTGTACATATGTTATGGCTGGATATGACTGAAAAATGTAATCACAACTGTTATTTATTAGTCCTTCATTCTTTTCATTTATATCCAAAAAATACATTTCGTTGACAATAAAATACTTGTGTTCCTTGCACCTTAAATTTTTCCAGATTTCCTGTACTTTTATGTTATTTTAAAATAGTTTGTGATAGATTTCAAAGTAACTACTCATCTACTACTATAAACTTGCTATTCATATTTAATGTTGTAGACGTGTAGAAAGTCTTTTATTCAACTGATGTGTTATTTTCATGATGGTGTATTATAAAAATTCCTGTCCAAACTATAGCTTATTTAGTCAATAACTTGGCAATCACAAGTAAATGATCTTGTTGCCAGAAACTTAATCTTCACAATAACTGGATATATTATAAGTGAATTAAATATCAAATATTAAGACACACTAAATGTTTAGGGACTGAGAAAGACACGGTAGTCAGTTTATTTTTCACGTCACCAAGAGAATTCGAAAACACAAGTTATGTAATTAGATAAAAATCACTTTTAAAAGGTATTAACCTTCGATCTTGTCTATTTTTTACATTGCTTCTACTGTTTAACAACTGTATTTGTTTTAAATCCATTCAGACAAACATTGAATACAGTACTTCGTAATGTTGTCAACCAGTTGGTCGTCCTCCCAAATCGTTTACCGGTTCAACTGGTTCCTGATATTGACATACAGCGTTTGAAATATCCATTACCTCAAGTAAGCGCGTATCTGAAGTCCGAATAGTACAGTATGTCTCGACACTATTTAACCCAAATTCATAACATGATTAGTATTATAAAAAACAATACTAAATTGTATTAATCATTGTTCGTGATATCAATTGACATTATTGCTTCTTCCACTTAGTAGTTTTAAATTTTTGTTGTCAGGTCTAGGAACTTAGGTATTTTAGTTAAAGCAATTGGTGGAACTGTACCTTTTTTAAACAAGTGAATTCATTTATGCGTACTTTTCAAGGGTTTATAAACTCAAAATAATGGATGATGTACTAAGGCAATCAGATATCATTGTAGCACTAATTGATCATATGTTATAACAGATCTTCAGGTTGGTGTTTGGAAGATGTCTGAAAAGTGGCTTGTAGTTTTAAGCAACAATAGAAAACACCCGTTCATTTTCTTGGTTTTTAATCTCTTCCGTAGTTTGATTCCATATTGCATCCATCTTTTATAATTTTATGATATATTGAACTGTGTTATCTCGGTAAACAATTAAGTGTATTCTCTTCTGATCATCAAATTGTTTTGAATAATTAATTAATTAATTTTCGAACATTATTATTTCTCATTTTATTCACTATTGCTACTCGAATTATTTTTATGACTTCATTATTGATCAATGTTAAAAGGGCGTTCTTCATATCAATATCATATCTGGTCGAAATCTTAAAGCAGGTGATAAAAATATGATTGGACACCGTACATCTGATCCATATTGTGTTATACGAGGTAAATGTCAATTTTATGGTAGATTTGTATTTTATTTTCAATAAAATAGATGTAGTTAAAAAATGGATTCAAAATGTTAGTTCTGCTATCCCTATTGTCTTTCTGGAACTCCGGTTGTCGATAATTCTTTATACATGATTGTTGTAACAGAGTAGTCACCACTCTTCCTGACGTCTAGATGATCCCGCAGTCACTTATTTTAACCGCCTATAGTCTTGTGTAACTTGTTAATATGAACCACTTTCCATTATACTGCAACTTTTAATATCCGATAGTTTATTCACAAACCACCAACTTAAGACCTAAGTGTGAAGTTGTACTGCTGACTGTAGATGGATGTGACGGCAGTAAGGTGTTTCACTCGGACAACCATCATCTGCAGCGATGCTGCCTTCTCACAACAGAAGGAAGGGGTTATAAAAAGTCGACCCTATAAATATCACACCTCACCTTACCCCACGGACTTCCCTTTCTGACTGTAAGGCCTTTTGAAGTGCGGAACTAACAAATCAAAAACTTCCCATAAAAATGCTGTGCGTGACTGGCCTCAAGCAGTTGCCCCTTGTGCTTTGCGATCACGTTTTGAAGATTTCTGTAATCTTGGGCATTAATTCAATACTTCCTACCAAAGATCCGAATCAAAATATGAGTGTTAAGTGTATGAATCGAAAATTGTTATATTTTCACTTCCAATTTATAATCAGTTGTGTATGGTTTGGATATAGTGGCTGTCTGTAGTGAAGTTCAGGAAACATCTCTCCGAGGCCTCTCGGTTAAATTTATGTAAATTTTGGAGTTGATATTCCTAATAACTCTCGAAAAACTTACATGTAATAGAATATAAAATGATCGTCAATGAAAAACATACTCTTTCAACTTCACGAAATCGGCAACTTAATTTTTTTTTCATTCACAGTTGGCGCTAGAACGTTCACTACTTCTGTTGTTAAAGAAACACTAGAACCAGTTTGGAACCAACATTTTGAGGTGGGTCATTCAGTTCTCTTAATTGCTGTCTTTTTTAGTCATTGTCTCGTGATATCGATTGGTTTCCTTTTTTCTACATATCTCCGAATTCGATCTCATCTAACTCACTATACTCAGCATTTAAGATAAATTTGTTTCGAGCAATTTTAAATTACCTCTAATTTCAAGCGAATTTCAGAGTATCACAGTATATTTAAAGAGTTAGTAAAGCGTCTATTAATGACTCAAATATATTTCAGAAACATGTAACATTTATATATCGTTAACTAATGAGATTGGTTGCGTTATTTCGACAACCTAATAGCTTCTCTCCCTTCTTTGCCCGTTGAATCCAGACTAGTTTTGTTTTGAATGACATTCCAAGAAAAAAGTCGAAATCTATTCAGTAATTTTAATGAAAGTGGGTCTGTAGTCTTTAAACATATCAGTTGGCCAAAAGTAGTTTAAAATTGACCATACATGTATGTCGGTTCAAACTGTCACACCACGATAGCATAGCGAGACAAAATTACCTGGAGCGATACCAAAGCAGTAGAAGTAATAGTCATAATATCAGTGGTTATAAAAAAGATCAGGTAACTATGATATGATTTATAAACAAAACGTTAGATCTCGCAATAAAAATTACCAAATAGTTCAGAAACTCAGGATCTGATTGGATACATCTCCATTGGGACCAATTCAGAGTTATGTTACCAATACCTTTAACCATCGATCAAGGCAATCACACAGACGTGTATCAGGTAGTTAACATCTTCCAACATAGCAAAGCAACAATCAATGAATTCATATGCTGGTACCAAGTTTTGATCTGGTTGCCCCTACGTTTTTTTCCAATTTACTTCCACGTTAGTCGTTATCTCGCATCATGACAGGTAGTGGTTCGGCATTCGTAATTCATGTTCCATCCACCTAAATCAATGGTTATTCATAATCTCATCAACCGCCTTACTATATTTGTTTATTACCTTGCTTTTAAGGTCAACACTTTTCACTCGATGATCTCAGTATACACAACCTATATATGATCAAATACAAGCAACCTACAAATCCCCCCTAATCTTCTAGGTCACGTTTCATAGTTATATGGTAGGACAGAACGAACTGCTTCTAATTGTATTCGTCCTTACGTCGGCAGACGGACATTTCGTGTACATCATGAGTGATGTAAGTGGGCAAAAGCCAAATGAGCTGTTTCAATTGTTGTCGAGATTTCATTAGACACCAACCCACCAGGACTAATGAATATTATAAGATAAGCGGTCTCTAAATAAAGCCAAAAATTGCGAGTCGATTTTCTGAATAAAACTTTTGTTAGGTGAACCTATTTTGGTTAAAAGGATCTAATCTTTAGATGGGATTTTTGCTCAGATATATTAGTGCCCTGCCAAAATCTACAGTGCTATAGTAATCAGAGTAAGTTGAAAATAACGGATTGTGATCAAACCCAAGCATGGCATTAGTCGATGAAATCAGGGACTTTTAACTTTATCTGTGTATAAATCGTTGGTTAATTGTTCAAAAACCTAAAACTGTTACAATTAGGTGACTAGGGGCTTCATTTTCAGATAAACAAAAGTACTGATGATGCAGTTATGGCTTATTCATGTCTTCCTGTGGATCATGAGCATTCAACTAATGTCCTCTTTGTTTCATATAAACATGTACATCTTAATAATGAGAAATTTGACTTCGATTACTACCAAAAGTATGTAAACCTTGATGGATTATAAGTTTAAATAGATGGTCAAATGAATCCTGGTTAATAGTCTACATGTTTAATCGAATTGTCTTTTTCACTAAGACATAAACTATCTGAGATTCTTAATTTCTCTCACTTTTATGTTAATCCACAAAAGTTGGATAGTTATGTGACTTTCATAATTGAGTCACAAATGTAACAACCATTTGCTGCATAATGAACGCATGCTATCTCGTACGTATGTGCAATTTCACACTAGAATTTGTTCAGTCCTCGTGACTTATACTGAAAATATTTCCTTTCTTTAATTTGCGCTTGTCTGTGCGCATATTTGTATACCGTGTTTCAACTTCAGTCACTGGTATGTTTCTGTTGCCTGCTTTCTACCACCGGTCATTTTCTAGGTCAGACTAGCTAAATCATTGTACCTTTATCGATTTTACTCGTCAGAACAGACAAAAATACTATGTCAAGATTTCCGTTCGAGATAAGAAAATAATGCATATTATTGTTGTCTTCAGGTCTTTTTCATCAGTCGTGAATAACTTTGAGAGTTCTTTGTACTATTGCAACCAATAAGCAAATAGGTTCATCAAGTTGAAAATATATCACTAGAAGTACTGAAGGTTAAATATTATATATATATTACCTTCAAACTGACAAAAAAGAAATAAATTTATATTGATTTACACTGCTAATATATAGCGTTCATCAAAATAGTTATGCATCTCGCCTGTCTATTCACTCACATAATTTTCATCTCAACTCTGATGACACAATAGACCTGCCCTTAACTTCGTAAGTACTCTGCAATGTACCCTTGGAATTTTAGATTAAGTAACTGATTGTTAGTGGTCTTTTGAATTCTGAGTCATGATTATATCGTCCATATTGCAAACTTCAGTGATTCGACATTATGACCTGGTTTTTTATCTTTATGTATGTTTGCATAATACCCCAAGATATGTTTCTCTTGCTTTCTTGACGCTCTATAAAAAATTATGTTTTACTAGATAGCACTGTAGTAAACGAGAACTCAAGTACGATAAACGATTATACATTAATTTAAGTCACACAGTGGCTTTATAAAGTAGGAAAATCATAAACTAAATACATCATTTGAATATCTTCCTTGAGTCGTCCTTTACAACTTCATTCTTCTGACCCAGTTCTTATTCCGATTGCTTTTCGTTTTTCTTCCTCTTCTATTTATTTCAAACCTCTGCTGCTAAGCATTCTACTTCCAGTTCCTGCTACATACTGCTTATGTCTATCCGCATAACTAGCTCACATCACTCCAGTTTTTAAGACATCTATATAACACTTTACATGCATCTTTTATGTGTCAACTAAAGCAGATTTGCATGAATTATTGCAGTTATTTAACATAAGTGAGCGTCCAAAATAAAGTGACAAATAAGTGGTTCATTAGTAGTGTTAGAAAATGGAGCATACTCAGCGGAACATCCTGTGCCACTTCATCGAGATATTTGTGATCATGTGTAAGAGACATTTTGTCTGGTATTTTCTTAAGGATAGTAAATGATATATATCGAACCACGCAATATAATAGACAGCTTAGACGCAACAAGACTATTTGGATTTCGCAGGTAACCTAGCTCTTCTACCTCATACATACGAACAAACGCAGATCAAGACAGCCAGTGTAGTAGCAGCCTATGCACCAGTAGGTTTCAACATAAACAAAGAAAAGCAAGATCCCAATGTACAACGCAGAGAGTACCATCTAAATCATACTTGATGGAGAAGCTCTGGGAGAGGTGGAAAGTTTAACGTACCTGGTCAGTATCATTGATAAACAAGGAAGATATGATGCAGATGTAAAGGCAAGGATTGGTAAAGCAAGGGAAGCATTCCTAAAATTGAGGAACATATGGAACTCAAGACAACTGTCAACCAGTATCAAAATCAGAATCTCCGATACGAATATCAAGATAACCCTACTGTACAAAGCTGAAATTCGGAGAACTACCACAACCATCATCAAAAATGTACAAGTATTTATAAACAGATGTCTACGCAAGATACTCATTGTCCGCTGGCCAGATACCATCAGTAACAACTTACTGTGGGAGAGAAAAAACTATCTTTCATCTGAAGAGGAAATTAGGAAAAGACTCTGGAGATGGATAGGAAATACATTGCGGAAATCACTAAATTACATCACGAGGCAAGCGCTAACTTGGAATCCTGAAGAACAATGGGAAAGAAGAAGGCCAAAGAACACACTGCGTCGAGAATTGCAAACAAACATGAAAAAGGATGAATGGCAACTGGAAACAACTGGATAGGATTGCCTAGGACAGAGTTGGATGTAGAATGCTATTACGATCCCACGAGTGATAGGTGTAAATAAGTAATGTGTATTTGACCATACTTAATACAATAGTGATAAAAATCGTTTAGCGGAAATTCGTTCGTAGTTTTATTATCTGTGTCGACTCCTGGGAATGTATTTCAAATCAAACTAACTTTACTAGATAGAATTCCCGAAATTTTATTCACTCGCCCATTGTTAATAAATTTGTCGTGATATTTGTGTTTCTTGTGTTCATTCATGTAAATCACCTGTGCTCACTTTTTTATATAACTTCAAATATACAACTATTCAGTAATCTGGTTTTCCAATTTTCTCCTGGATGTCAACAGTTTCTTCATATTAATTAGACTTCTTAGAATTTAACATCTCATTAACTTCTTTTTTTATTATTTATGTTGTGTCCAATTCAATCATTTAAATACTACTTACTTTTAAATAACATTTTATTTAGTCTATCGTCGATATTTGTCATGGTCAGTCAGTAACATTTGAAGTATACGATAAAGATCAAGGGAACAAAGATGATTATTTAGGTTGGTAAGTATTTTCTTTTGCTTTAGAAAATTAGCTGTCTGGTTTTAGCAGCTGAAAGATGTAAAACGATTTCATTTTTTTCATCTATACCTACTCAGAATGAATATTACTCAATAATTAATATTCCTGAAACGGGTTACCTGAATTCAAAAATACTGGAATGTGACCTATAAGATTACCATATTACAGGCTAGAGACGATCAATTTTATGTACATCAGTATAGCGTCAAAGCTACAGTTTACAACTTGCTAATTTAAATTATGTCGGGGTCTAAGATTTTCTGGAAATCTGTCATCATATAAATACTAAATATTTCTATGGAAACAAAACCATTTTAAAATTCTTATTTGCTTATTGTAAATTTGAGTTAGGACCTAATGTAGAATAAAATACATAACAAAGTATGCAAGTCAACAAATAAATTGATAATAAGCAAATCATCAAGTCATTCTGCCATTGATCGTTTGCATACAAATATTCTACTTAATTTAATCACCTTGACTTCTGTCACTTTATGCACATATATGGATTAAAACAGAAGAATGAAAAAAAATCTACATTAAACTAATCTTTATCAAAGCATCAATATGCAACCCTTCTGGTTTGAACTATGATTGATTGGGCTCTTTCGACATATGTGCATCTAAGAATTGCTTCAGTAGCTCTTTCAAGTCATAAACATTTTAAGCAAAGATGGATAGTAGCTAGTAAATCTAGGTGAATCCAGCTAACGAGTCCCGGTTAAGCCGAAACACACGTCCTGGATTCCACTGCTGGACACTGTCCAACTTTGCCTAGAGTGATATTAATCTTTGATGTTTTCAATCTTGTGCTTTCCAAATAAACTCCCGATAAATAATTTTCTCAATCAGTTTTGATTTGCATTTAACGTACTGTATATTAATTTGTTTTTAAAGACAAGCGTAAAGTAGGAAGTAAAATATCCTTTTTGTTAGCTACATCGTTGTTAAACTTTTCGTTGTTCCTTATCTTTATGTCTTAACTTGAAAACAGCTTCATCTCTTCTAACGGAACACCAAACCTCGGCATCCAGTTACTAAACCTTCAACTTACTGGTTCCATATTCATGTCCACTTATACAGAGGCACTGTTAGAGATATGAGAATATTTATCACTTCCCGGTTGCCTACACCGTGGAAAGGTTCTTCTGGAGGTAACTAAAAGTGAAATTGGATCAAAGGTGGTCTTAGTGACTTGAGAGTGTGACCGCAGTGCCCAAGGGACAACTGCTTGAAGTCGGTCACACACGACCTTTTTGTGGGTGATTTTCGTGTTAGCTCCGTGCTTGTTGAGACCTTACCGCCGGAGACGGATATCCGTGGGATAAGACGAGGTGTGAATTTCTAGGGTCGACCTTTTCTAATCCCACCCCTCCTTGTGGGAAGGCAGCATCGCTGTCATGCTAGTTGTCTGAAGGAAACACCTTACTGCCGTCACAGCTCTGTACAGTCAGCAGTACGACTTCGCCCTAAGACCTTGGGCGTGCTGTTGTTCACTATACCGAACTTGTTCACTGTAGCTGAAAATTTGTATTAGTTTTAAAGTAAGAGGTTGGATTAAAGCTATATAATCATCTGAAAGTTTAGTTATATCTGTTTTTAATTGAATGATATTTAGTCATTTCTCAACCGATTACAGGTTTGTGTACTAAGGTGCTGTCACATATATATTATGGTAAAAATAGTTCATATAGCTTGATAGATAAAACGTTGTTTCCTCAGGTGATCTAGTGTTTGGAAGTTATGTTCCCGAATCACTAGATTGACGAGTCTCTCTCACTATATATATATATATATATATATATATGATTTGCAGATTTATTTAAACTTTTTATGCATTTCTTGAGTAATCATTCTGGAATGTTGAGGTCCAAAAACTGCAGATATCGTATCTCAACAGTGTTCAACCATTAAGACAAAATCCAGTACTCCAGTTTTTCATATTTCACCCAAGGTTATGTACGCCTCAGCGGGAACTTCTCAGGCTCTGAATTAGAGGGACGTAGGATCGAATCCTCTAGAGAGCACCAGTCCTCTCAAGAGTTTAGGTACACCTAAGTGACAAGTTCCAAACACCATGAAACTTAGGTCCAAGTTTTCCTATCGACTACACCTAACCACCTATTGGCTTACACTACTCTTTTTTTATCACACCTAACCACATAACATCTCGGTATAGTGCATGCAATGTCGAACCACTTAAACTAGTGGCCATATTGAAAATCGATCAATAGAATTCAGTCACCACTAAAAGGACTAGACAAATATGACATTAATCATAACTCATCGACCAGTAGATTGTTATATATGCAGCTCATTCATAGATGTTTTTCAAACACTTGATCCTATGAGGGTTATCCAGACTAAGACGAAACTTCCTGATTTTCACAGGAACCACATTTTTACAACCTATTAAGCCTTCAAAGCTACCAGGTTAGTGCATACCTCGAACAATACGAATACAACTTCATAATTAATTAATTAGCTTTTATTATCTGTCAATGTAGTAGTTTTTGCCGCTTATTAAATTAATGAAGCTGTTATTTTTGAGGTTTTTAAGATTTCGTTTATTTTTATGTAAAATTGTATGTTTTAATGCCGCCTTTCTAGGTTATTGTACTAAAGTTATCACCATAGCTACAATCTACGTGAAATTCTTCTCCCCATTCTTTAATAATGGAACTTTAAACAAGTCAAACTATTCATTAATGTAACTTTCACTTATATTTTTCTGATAAACATACACACTTTATCAAGTGTAAAAGAGTGGCTGCCTAGTCTCTTTTTCTGCTGCTAGTCACCTAACCAGTACTATATGTAATTAATCAAGCCCATCTTATCTCAGTTTCAGACTTACTTTCTCGTATACACAGCATTGAGTAAACGAAATATATTTCAATCCAACTTCAGGTATTATTTGAAGTACAACATTTCATGTCACTGTATTAGACACAATAGCAACTGTCGTTTTCATCTACTTATATTTTATTCTATTCTATTTATATTGGTACATTCTGTCTTTTAAATTTATCATTTCAATGTAGTACTTCGATACCAGTTGAGTCGGTAGTCAGTGAAGGTGAAATAGACACGGTAAGTGTATGAACCGATTAACAAAGTCTGTGTTTGTTATAAATAAAGATTATATCTGTCCCAAATGCCTCAAACTAACTCACTGATGATATTTTTGTTAGGATTGAGCTATTATCACAAATTGACTAGCTTTAAAAGTAAGTACCTACTATTGAATTCACGTTTAATAATCAGAAAATATTGTGTTACTCATCAAACCCGATGTTAATAAGAACAAAATAATTCTTGAAATTCAACGATTTTTCAACTGAAATCATGATGACACTACAAAATCTAATGTTTTTATCACATACAAAGTCAATAAATGAATTATATTCATTTTTGAATACTAGACAAATGTTGCGGAATTTGATTGAACTATTAATGTAGACAGTTACTTGTACAATACTGAATCATTATTTCCCATCTCCGTACTAGTTTAGATGATCGAAGCAAAGCAACTAGGAACTAGTTACACTATTATAGCCTCCTAATATTTGTCAAGAAGGATGTACGTATATCTTTCATGTATACTAACTATCACATTCCATCAAAAAAATAATAAAAGTGCATGTGCAACTTGTTTAATCATGTCCAGTTGTGTAATTCAAAGGTTCACGGCCTCTACATCAAATGTAAACAGTGACATACATTATTTATTCTGTTTATTAACTGTTATGTAAAATTTGTAACAAACGGATTACTTTATTGAATGATTTAAATAGAAATCATTATGTTTTATATGAATTATTCTCATTTTACTATATTTGCGACTAAAAAACTAATTTAGCACTTTGGATTATTTAAATACTTGAAGGTCAAAAGGAGTTATAGGTTTCACAGTTAAGCCATAATTTCTCAGCTGTCTATACTTTTCAAATGTTTTCGCCCTTATTTATATAACACAGAACATAACCGATCCTCCATTTTGATCCACCTTAAGAATTAACACACTATTCCAAACCAAATCACTAATTCAAAGATTTTAAATAGCACATTGAATTATGATAGCTTCATAGTGGTTTTGTATCATAGTATGTCAACAAATACCTAACTCGCCTTCAAGTGCGTACAGTACCAAACTATATATCTCTGTAAATATAACAGTCGATGTAGTTCTTTCATCATCTCGCCTTTCTGTAATACTTTCTGTTTCTCTACTTTGTAGCTCTTCATTCGGTAGTATAACTCATTGCGAACCCTACAGTATCACTGAATGTGATTGAAATTTGCTAGTTAATGATTAGGTTGATAAACTGTGACTTTCTCCATCGGTCAGCATAATTACTGTCACCAAGTACAAAAATATACCATACAGACACATAAATCAGACTCAGTTATTCTGAACTTCTCATCAGTATTTACAGACTTTTCGACTTGTAGCATACGTTTCTTTATATAAGACTCAGTAGCGTCCCAATATAGAAAGCTATTAATGAGTGACTTTAACTGATTATTGCTTTAGACTAAGAAGTTTCTACACATTATTAAGTCTCACAAAAAACACGACTGCATAATTTCAAACATTAGGTTAAGTAGTCGTTATTCGAAACCCACCCGGGTAATATCACCTAACGTCACACTAGTAGTGTCACTCACGAGTCAAGTACACGAATCTGTACTCAGTAAATGAGTAAATAAAAATACTGTAAACGATATATTTGACGACATAAAGTAAATCAAATGATATATATATATATATATATATATAGAGAGAGAGAGAGATATTTCATTTCGTTTCAGCATTAAACTGTTGTAAAAACTATTTAACTATTCATAGCAAATGTTTTACACTCGGAAAATATTCAAGATTTTCTTAGTTCTCATCCTTTTTATATGTAACATGTTAATGATTTCTCCGTTTATTTAGTGGTCCTCATTAGAAGGGGTAAAAACTGGTTCATTACATATTCAATTAACGTGGTTTCGACTGTCAAATCATGAAGTGGATTTTGTACAGGTTAGAAAAATATATTCGTTTTTTACTTCGAACACTTCCATTTCTTGTCTTAAATAACATTTAAGTATTGAATAAAAAGTGGGGTTGTATCATTTAGCAAAGTAATCAAAAATTGTGAAGAGAATACTTCAAGTAATAGTTTATGTAATAGTTATCTTTAGCCTTTATTCTATAGACTATTTCCTCTTATTACTTCCAGAATTGTTACATAACGTAAGCTCTTGATGATTTTTGATTACTTTGCTAAACATTTAAGTCTTAATCAGCTAATGAAAAACAGAAAACTTTTTTTTCATTTCCTCGTATTTGAATTTGAATAACTTTGAATACTGTTCATTCAAGTTAAAACTTGTCTAAAGTTTTGCATCGATTTTCTGTGACATTTCATCAGTGTTCTTTGTAGGGTATCTCATAGTAATAAATATTCACACGGATGACTATAAATTAGCATACATTCGAGTGTTTCTCGTGATTTCAGTCAGTATTACAATCCTAGATATGTAAAATTGTGGACGTTCATTGTAAGCAATGCATTTTCGGTAAACTATTTCAGAGTTGTTGGAAAAAAAGAATTTGTACTTGTTAGTTTAATGTTACATCATCATGCTTAAAAATTGGAACACATACTTTATTTTTGTATTTAAAGATGCATATTCCTTTGCCAGAATAAAGTTTATCCAAATTAAAAACTCAAATGTCATAGTGTTCTCCTTAATACCAGGCTTAAGTGATTAATCTCGCTATATTGCCAGTATAATTATCTTTTTCGGGAAAAAAAGTATCTGGTTAAAAATATAACTTATAATTTATCAGAATTATGAATTGCTAATATCTTATTTCATTCACTATCAATTACGTAATTATGTAAACTATGATTTAACAAACAAACTATTCAAGTTCAAATACTTATAAAATTACAAGTTCGTCAGTGTTCTTTACGTTCTTTGTTTTCAGGCGATGGTATGGTTCTATACACTAAGGCTATCATAAAACACTAAGCTATCTAAAATTACATCCTTCATACAATATTGGCCTGAATTTTAACGCAAAATATATGTATATTATATTCAAATGTTATATATAGTTCTGAGCTAACTAAAATAATCAACTTTAAAATTATTCTTTAATTCTTTACTCATATATACTGATAAGAAGTCTGTTCAATATGCTTAACGAGCTTTTCCTGTAGTTATTATTTTATTATTATTACTATAGTTTGTAAATGTACCTTTAAATAGTGTTAATCTTCCGGAACTTACTGCTGTTTACCTTATTCTGTATCGTAGACTTTCTTCTGCATTTTCTAGTCAGTTCGATTGATTTCCTCTTATTTTATTTGTGAAAGCGGTTTACGATTTCAACTAACCTCCTTTTGCTAATTCAGGTTTGTTATTACCCGGCTATAATTAAAAAAACTTGCGATTTGGAAACATTCCTTCCAGATTACCGGTTCAGTACTAGTACCCGAGTATTTCACTGATAAAATAATTTTAAATTCAATTTTTTCGTATATCATTATTATTACTATTAGTATTAGATATTTAGAATCATATTATCTGTCTTTTCTTATTTTCTTGTCTCACCAGTTTATTCTTAAGTTATTTGGCATTTACTGTTTAATATTTTACTGGTAGTTTGGAAAACCCCGTCTCTAATAACTAAACTGCTTTATTCAAGGAAATGTGGACTGTGTTTAGGACCAGTGTTTTAATCTGCCTCATAACTATGTTAAAGAAGTATCTGTAGTAATCGTTGGATATATGTTTGCGTTTGATATTACTATTAATACATGTTTGCACTCACTGTTCACAGAGCATCTTCAACGCGAAATTTTAGTTAAAACTCCAAGGTTAACTAGTTTTAGCTTTTATTGCTTCCTGATTACTATGTCAATGTTCAGCCAGTGCTACAACCTGATATTTTGGGGAAAATGCTTCATTTCCTGTTGTTGAATGGTGAATACAGACAACTTGCCATCCACTGTCCTAACAGATAAATCAGTATATATATATATATATATATATATATATATATATATATATATATATATATATATATATATATATATAACAAAATCATAATTACAGATGATTCGATAAACAAGTTCACATCTTTTGTAGTATCCGTTTCATTATAACGCTACTTTTTTAAATGCCACTGTAAATTGCTCATAATCAAAGTGGTGGTTTTTCGCCACGTAACTTCGTTAGTATTGTTCCCGCTTTCTAAAAATATCTATTTCCCAAAAATCTCAACACTTGTAATGAATACAGAAGACTTACCTATTATAGGCTGGACGAATAAAATACTATGGTCACCGTTTTCCAAGGGATTCCATCTCTTGACTTTACTCCACTGGCTTGTGGATCGAAGACTGGAGAAATGCTCCTCTTATGACCTTACCCGCTTGTATTTGAATCCCGGAGATCACTCCCCTGTCTTATCCAATATTGTGATGTATTACAAACAAATAAAACATTTCGTAGTACTAGCCAAAGTTATCATCTCAAAAACAATTTCCTTTGGTGAAACATTAACAAGATGATTTTGCGTGATATTTTTAATCAAATGTAAACATTAATCTGCCGAGGTGTTTTTAAATATTTTATACAACATAATAGGTTAAATGTGTGCTATTTTAGTTTCTCGATAAAAACTCAATGATTAGATGTTATACGTATATATAATTTATCACAATATAGAAAATTATGACATGAATGCAAAATTTATCGGTAACTTTATCTAAAATTTGAAAATCATGTCTATCTTAAATGCCTTTTTTGTCAATCATCTAGTTACTCCTCCCTCGAATCTGGATTTCGTTTATGTTAGTGTTTACTTGATTGGGTAAACTTGCGGCTTTAAAGAGTTCTATGGTAAAACTAGCGATAACCTACTTATAACGATATAATTCTCTAATGATATATAAACTACTCTGTAGTTGTGTACACCTAGTTGTTGCTCTTAATTTTGGTTATCAAACTGCTTCGTTCATATCTCACCTTTTAAGTGAACATTTAACAAATGAAGGTACTTGCATTAAATGGAATTATTTATATTTAAATGACAAATAATACTTGATTGTACATTCACTTGACTAATTTTTGTCAATAATCTCCAAAGTTCGAAACATAGTTCCGTTTTATCACAGTCCACTATTCTTTACAGTCATACAAACTATAAACTTTTCATCATTGCACAAATTTCCACATATTGATCATGCAACTTAGAAATTTTAAAAAGGTAAGTTTTATGATCGTAGATTAAGTGACAAATAACCCACCCAATTCTGTATTTTTGTTAATACACACTGATATTGCGAATCAAATACTACTAGGCAGTTGTCTTTTTCCCAATGTGAGGCTCTTTTCCATTTATGCAGTCGAATTATTGTTGTACAATTTGCCGTGAGTTGGAAAAAAACGAAGGACGTTTACTTTTTTAGACTTGAGTAGCCTTGCACTCCATGTAAAATTAAGAGCTTGACTTACCTAATGGAAGGCTTATTTGCTTTTCATGTTGTCACCACTAGAAATTATCACTGTGTGATAACTGGCATGGTTTCTAAAAATTGTTTTTCGAAGTATTCAACTAAACAGTGTTTAGTAACCAAATCAATTGCCACGCCACTGTTTGATATACCTGATAAATTTAAGTGCATAATAGTCATTCGCGTAGTTTGGGTATTGCATAATAAATCTAAGGGAATATCAGCAGTCTACGGAAATGATTTTTTAAGGGAGCCAGATGTTTTGGTCTTTTTACCCTCTCTACCCTACCAACCAGAAATCTAATCAAATCCTTGAAAGCAGTGATTTCAGATTGCCAGTATAAATTTTTAGTGATCGTAATCTCTACCACCGCGAATGTCTATTTCAGATATTAGAGCCCGATAATATTTTTTAGAAATTAGTATATAATATGACCAGCAGTGGAATGGAGGCCGCGCGTTTCGTCCTGTTTGAGACTATTCAAATGGATGTTCCTGCTTTCCAGAGTTGATGTTCACTCTAGGACTAGAATCCAAAACCCTTTGCTGCCAGCCCAATTGCATTATCCACTTAGCCACTCAGTCCAGATAGCCGCTCACTTAGGTTGGCTTATCACTTTTAAACAAACGGAACTCGCTACATCCTACTTATTATATACTAACATGTGTCATAATGTCTATATAGAGGTAATCTGTGCAGGATTCACATATACCAACCATGATTGATCACATTTTAGTTAAAAAATATCAACATCTGTATAATTCGATCCATGTCAAATTAAACTTTTCAAAAGTCGTTTGTTAGTCTACAATTTCCGAAAGAAACGGTTCAAAGCTTATTAGAGCGAAGTTTTTTGACATTTCAATTTTACGCGAGATCATAATGATTTGTATATAAAATATTTATGTGAAATAGCGGATCATTCAAAACGACGAGCAACCTTGAAATTGACACGAAGATTGTATAGACAACCTATTCAGAGAAAATAATACAAACCACTCAAATCGATGCTTTCCAAACAAAATAAAAACAAGCCAAAAATCTTCCAATTTAATCCTTCACTGCCCTCTCCGTAGAACAAATATCAGACAATATAACAAGTGTTTACACATTGGAAGTATCCCCTAAATATATTCGTTTGCATTTAGTAACATTATGTTACACAAGAAATATATCTTAGTATAATATTATTGTTATTTACTGATTTTCTTCAATTTTCCTATTTCTTAATCATGATTACTTGTCAAATTTTACATACAACTATACTATACATGGTGAGTTCGTGTAAATTTCAGTATCACAGTTTTAATGTTAAAGTTGATTACGCATGCACTTTGTAATTTACCACTAATTCATTATGTCTATGTGTATTTTGTATGATTGATTGATGTTTCCATCGATTAATTTTTATTACATATCCCCATCTACAATCAATACTCTCCCCCCCCCAAAAAAAAAACAATTCAATAGATTTTTTTAAAGCGTTCATTCCATTTTCAATAGAATAATGTTTAGTTTGTTCAATTCCTACTGGTTATTGTTTTATTTTTTGTTATTGAAAATTTAATTCATCTATTGAGATTCTATGTGATACTTATGTTATTGTTGTTGGTGTTTTTTTCTCTCTAAACAGATAAGATATTGAATATTCTTAGTTTGATAGATTTCCAAATCTCTATTTTCATTGTAGATTGTATTTCTACATATTTTGTTTCCTTTATTTCATTTATCAGTTGATTGAATTATCACTTTTAAATTTAGTCACATATTATATGATTCATATTATTAACATTTGTGGTAGCCTAAATAATGTTGACTTTTGTACTGTTTATAGGATGTACTTGCAAAACTTGATTTAGTCAACACCACAAACTTTTCTCTCTCTCTCTCTCTCTCTCTCTCTATATATATATATATATATATATATATATATATATATATATATATATATATATATATATATATATATATATATGGCTTATAACTAGATCTTAGCACCCTAATGCTTAAAAGTCTATCTAATCGAAGTTAGATTATTGTGAGCTTCACATAAAAATGAGATAAATATCTGATTGCACTGTTTGTATGAGGGAATTGTGGAGATTATGGTATTTTCACAATTGAAATCACGAGTCAATCTATTCACCTGAATCTAGGTGATTATGTTTCTATACCAGTTATTGGTTTACTCATCTTGAATGTGAATACCGTACGAGAAATGACTTAGTGATTAAAGCATTTAAATTTCGGTTGTTAAATCAATAGTTCCAATCTTCCTCACCCATATTGTTTTATGGGTCGAGTAATTTCGCTAGACCTCACATAAAACTCCAGTCTTCAATTTGAGTACACGATCTTGTACCTGGTTACGGAATTGTATTAAAAGTGATAAAAATATTAAAACCTTTGTTAGTCGTTAAATCAACATGATTTCCTTGTATTAATTGTTAGTTTTGATTACTGTTTGTTTATTTTAGTCTTCAGATTTCTAATTTGTGAACTGATTTATGTGAAATTTGTTGTTGAAATAATTACAAATCCACTGTAAATGTATATCATCTTCATTCGTGTTTCATGCTTGAATGTTTACTCTATGATTGTGCGGCAATCGATCATTCTATACACCTGTTCATGTTTTGTGTACAAAAATGCATTACAAACTAAACGTTCTCAAGCTAGTTGGATATTTTCTTCGTGATATTGCGAATTCATTGACTTTGATTTTTTTATCTCAAATCTCATCACAAGAAATTTGTTATGTTTACTTGTTATTCCTTCTGTCTGTTTTATTTCTTAGTCACTTTATTCGCATAATCGAATCGTTTGTCAGTCAATTACTATTCAGTTCATCTTGTTAATTGTTATTTGACATAATTTCATTGCTGATACTCCCTCTCTATTTATTATTTTATAATTTATTTGTGATAATATTCGCTTTTTATTCATCTTCTGTTTCCCTTCTTTTCTCTTTATACTAAATCATGCCGTTCCAAACTACATGATGATTACTAGTCAATGGAACAGGCTTTACAGTATCGTAAAGCATCCGGACGAAGTATGAGTTCAGGATTTTTATACGTTGTTATTGAGCAAGCGAATAATTTGCCAGTAAGTTATTTTGTAAACTTTATCAAATATGTGCAGTATTTTTTTATATATATTGAATGGAAATAATAAAATATAAATTTGAAGGAAACTTTGAATTGTTAAATCTTTTTCCTAGATGATTATGTCTGAAACTGGAGCTAGTCTCTGTATTCTCACCTAGTAACTAATTTCTTCTCTACAATAACAATAATTTCGTTATAATCTCCTCCAAACGTCTCAGTAAGAGAAAAGTTAAAAAGGCTCTTTCTGTTCTCACAAGTCGAATGTGTTACAGCAACTATTTGTATAGTCGCAGCGATGACCTTTTTGAATAGCAAACTAGGAGAGAAATCAGCTTATTAGAGAAGAGCACACTTCAACGTGGTAATCTTTACAACTATAATTTGTTAGCAACAGGAAAAAAATTAAATTATTTGGGGCCTTCGTAGCAGAAGTCACGAGATAAGTGGCATATTATATGATAGGAATAAGTCACACCTGACAGCTCACTTTCACAATATTCATCCATTTATCCATAATTCATATATCAAAAAGGAATACTATCGTCTCTTCAAATTTAAATTTAAATACGGTTATTGGATAGATTGCCTGTACCTTCTTTCAATGTCTTTATTGACTAGGTTTCGCGTGTTCTAAGATATCATGTTCTTGATGATATATATTTTACACTCTTAATGAGTTCCCAGCTTCCCTAATTAAACATTTTCATTAATATTCTTCCCAGAAGATTCAGTTTTCAACATTTAAAAGTTTTAAGATAACATTTCATTTATCATAACTCGGTTATTGTTAAAGGTTAGGTATGTACACTTTTGTAATTGATGTTTTTATGTTAAAGTGATAGGATGAAATATATACTGATTTCTTCGCTATTACTTATCATAACGTTTATGCATGAATGATTTTCTTTGTCTAAAACATTGTCCTGATAGATATCACTTTGGATTTTGACGTGTAACGCCTGATGGTTATGAGTCCTTATGACAAGTATAATCAATACTCTAGTCGCATTTTCGAAAATCGATACTAAAGTGTAAACTTCACTTGATGCTAGATTTTATGACGAATATAACTACAAGATTATAAATGCTAACTTCATGGATTTTAACAGGTTGTAGTTATCACAGAAAGGTGTATTTGGTACTGTTCTTTATCTTACTTGCCTCTAAAGTTAATCTAGACTACTTACGTAAATCTGAACAGGCTAATCGTAAAAATGATTTTACCATATATTATGTGAATAATAATATTTAAGTAGTTTCATTTTGTTCTCCTTGCTGAAGTTTGTTAGGAATAGTCTGTCAATCTATGCATCATCAATGTGATTTTCAAAGTCAAACCGGCCTCCTTTACTCGGGTTGGGGACTGGGAGTAACTCTAGAAGGGCTCCAGGCAGAGTTAACACTTTAACATGGACACAGTAAATAGCACTTGGCTTTCAAGCTACTTCAGCTAATTGACGATACCATTATGCAACTAATGTATATCTGCAGTAACTTCCAATCACTTTTTTTGTTTAACAAGTTACTGAAATCCAATGTTTTTGTACATCATCTTGAACATTTTTTCTTTTGTATCTTTTGAATCATTTACGTATGATTTTAGACAGTTGCCCTTTATTCAACTTCCTTTCTCTTCTGTTTCTTCCATTATCAGCACGTAAAACAACTACAAGAACCTTCACCATTTTGTAATATCCATCTAGGACGTGATTATCAAACAAACGAAGTTAAAGAAAAAACACAAAATCCTGTTTGGAATTCCGTACATCATTTTCTTGTTAGTGATCCAAACGTTGATATACTTCAACTTATTGTAAGTTTAACTCATGTTTTTCTTTTTCTTTGGGAGGGTGTTTTTAGTAGTCATAATTACTGAAGCAGAGATGTGGATCAAGTTGACTTACTTAAAACTAAGTTTATTAGAATACTGACCCATAGTTTCTGTATTTGTAGAGGTAGGTGTTTATCTTTAGTTACCTAGAATATTTTATCATTTGGTATACCTCTCGTCTAAAGTAATGAGATTTTGTAACTATGTGTCGCACATATAAACATGAGTATAAAACTATTGCAGGCTGCTGTTAGGTCGTTTTTAAAAATTTTAACAGTAGTATAGATAATTCTTTACCATGAAGTGCAACAACAATTTCTGTAATGCGCTATAACCTATCAATTAAGGTTTTAATGTACAATTTAATCTATTTGATGTCCGAGAACACAAATCGACCTCCGACATTCAGTTCGTCTTTGGCTCCTTAATGACAAATAGAGGATTCCCTGATAAGCAAATACAGTGATTACGTAAGAGGGGTGACCTGCATTGATTGAAGTAATTTGGGAAACATTTCGAAACGTTAACAATAATGGATTACCGTAGTCAATGAAACCACTGACTTTCAGTTAATAACTTATAGTCATCCTCATACTGACTCACTCGTACTTCTTGCTTCAAATATTGAACATCCACTATTCTAGTCCGATTTTTCTCAGTTACTGTCTCAAGTTTTTCCAGCTTCTAATATATTTCTCTATGCATGACAACTTACTAACATGGTAATTCGGTGACTGAATTGATCCACTGTTACGTCAGGTTGTGCAGTAGAACAGTTATAAGTCTGTTCGTATGTTCACTGTGTGTATTCGTACAAATTGATAACCGAGACACCATTGCGTAATCCTGATTTCTTCATATCATTTTTACATGTTTCATTAAAATGTTAAATTGTACTCCATGTCTCCCTTGTGACATGATTTAGATACGTGATAGTCGGACGGAGACAAAACTAGGATCTTGTAACATCTCACTACAAACCTTATTAACACAGAAGAATATGTCTGTCACGCAACCATTCACCTTACAAGATACAGGTCGAGAAACATCAACCATTTACATGCATTTACAACTGTTGGTGAGTTCTATCAATACTTTACGTAAAATTTTAGAATAAATAGTTGAAATTTTTAATTAATATTGATTTGATACACTATACTTTTAACGTGAATATCTTTGACATGAGAAAATAATCCCATATTGACTTAATCGTCAGGGTTTACTAAGACGTAAATTACTGACTTTCTGAAATTCTATTGCAATGAATGAAAAGCCAGGTGGGGACTACCAGTTTATTGTATAACGCAAAGTTACAGAGTGTCTTCGTAAAATATGAAAAACAGTACATTCAATACTTCACTTGCAAATCTTCCATCAATTGTCTCGAACTTCATCGTCCTTTATTGCTATTATAATTACTCTCTGTTTACATTTCCGTTCTCTTCAATTCGATCTTCTCAACCTTTTACAGCCAGCCATTCCACTTCTGATTGGTGTTACATACTACTTATAATGACAGACATAATAAGCATACACCACACTACTACATTTGGTTGTTAACAGTATTTCAAATTCTCTTTTTATCACATTACATGAGTAACACCATTTAAATAACGTTCATGTCTAATTACTCTATTAAGATTAATAAATTCATAATTTATGAGGCCAATATTTTGGTTTTATTATAAATCTACTCGTCGTCTACATGCACTACCGAAGTCTGTTATCTGAGACAGTTGTATGTTGTCTAAATACTACACTATTTCTAAGGTTCTTTCTCAAATATCTTCAATTGAATTATATAAAATCCTTTTACACCGAATTCTATTAATTTCAAACCAATAGAAGACAGACAGAAAAAAACAACTAACATACTATGTACTGGAATATAGTATGTAATCAATATAAAGTGAAACCATTCATGATAGTAATTATCTAATTCAAGTACAGAACACTAGCGAAAATTAAATAATAACATTAAATAACAAAATGTACATGATTTAGATTTTTTTAAATAAAGGTCATTTGTTTATAGACCACTTATGGTTCCTGATAATTATTTACAATTGTTTCATGGAGCCTAACTATAAGATCTGTATCTTCTCATAAAATCAATAACTTCACAGGTTGACTTCATGTGTCGGCCTAGCATTTAGATATGGAATTCTTATTCCACTTTATTATGGTTTGTTGTCTTAGATAATTCAGTCAGTCATAACATAGAACCTGGTACTCATATACATCAGTTTCCATACCCCATAAGAATAGAGAAATGAACTTTTAGACGTAGTAGCATCACGAGTGGTGATTGTAAAGATTAGTCATCGAAGATACGATTCAAGAAAATATTAATTACTGGACCTACATACATTGTTTATTCTTGACTGAATAAGAATGAGTTGATACTTATTCAGTTTGAAAACACAATATCCAAAATTTCTAAATAAAAATTGATTTAACTTACAAGTCTGTTTTTTTCCTTTGACTGTCAAAATTTAATCATAGATTGTTGTCCTACTGTCATTTCTGTATCACGGTCCGCTCATTAACCGTGACCAGTGGTTGGAGACTTTGGATGACTCAGAGTCAGTCAAAGTGATGCAGGCATATTTCATTTTAACATTTCTCTAGATCTTCCGTTCCCATATCCCTTCATACATAGCTATTCTTTCTGCCTTTTCAAATAAGATTCCCAGTGTTTAGTCTTTTCATCATCACTACTACTGCATTATTTCGACTTCTTTATTATTCATCTTGTTAATTTGATTTCCTCATGTTAATGTACTATCCCAACTTTTGTCAACCCGTATTTGTACCAGGCTCTTCGTCATATATGACTAACTCCTTTGTTCAATAGATAACTCTCAACTATTTGGTAATTGTTTTTAGCTCCTTTGCACTAACCAATCCATCGCGTTATGGACGTTTTACACAAAGTTGTGATTTAATTCCTAGCACACTTTTATGATAGTATAGCTGATAGTTTTCAACTTTGTGAATAATCTCTGTAGAACAACTAAATATGCATTAAATGATTGATTACCGAAGGAGAAATAAATGTTTTTTATTATAACAGGCTTTACTTCCTGGACAACGCCAAAATCCAAGCGGGCATGATAATACTAATATAAAACGGAGTTTATCCCTGAATAAGAATTGTACTGATAATACTATCCCAACTGAAAAACCTGCTGAATCCCCCACAGGAAATCCAGAAATGGTTGTGAGAAATCGTTTTCCTGATGATAATGTAAGTACTATGATACTTATGACTTATGTTATTTCTTAACAGTAATAAATTTCATTATCATTTGATTCAATTGGTTGTATTTCAACTTCAGTAATTTGATTATAATTTTTGTTTGGTTTTGATCTTCTTATGGTCGGTTCCAAAAGAAATTGAGTTGACACATCTAGACTTATGGTGCAACGGTTTTTCCTAGTATTTGATTTGCTACATTCATGTGATTTTAGCGTCCAATGAAAACTTTCTTAATGTGGTTTTTTGTTGTAACCGAAGGATATTACTTAATTTATGTTAACATAGTTAAGTTACAATCGAACAACAGTTAACCTTTGGTTTCGGCTGGAATAATTTTGACAGCTGTTAAATGAACATCATTATCGGTTCACTAAAACAGTATCTTCTTCAAAGTTGCAAGATACTATTTTGTCTGTCTTAACCTCCTTCCGTATTTAGTTCGCTAGCTGTTATAAATTTATTTATTCCCCTTCTTGAAAAGAATTTACTAGCTGTCAGTAAAAGGAACAGTTATTCACGCTATGAAATAATTTCGTTATTTATGTAGACGGAGACTGTCAGAAGACCTAGAGATTTTCACCACTACAGTCATTCGATGATGGATTTAGCCTGAGCACTCTCCAAATTACTTTCGTGAGATACTATGGCCTGAAAGTACAAGCACTCCTTGTATCATAGCACCATTTGGTCAGTATTATAAGGGACCCTGATCACAATAAATTGAATTTGTACTAAATCAGCACTTCGAGAAAGACTGAATACACATTTCAAGTATCTTACGTATACATTAGATAAAACTGGGATTAATTTTGTTTCAATATACTGAGTTCATTGACTATAATTCAAGTAATCTTTGTCATTTTATGGACTATCAGTACTTGTTAAGCTTAATCCACTGTTTACTAACAACATATACTTCTATAGAGCTCTCCAAATTTTGCGGTCATAATTTTTTTTATTTATGGAACGTTAAACACACTAGAAATCAATGTGTTGAAGGTATTTTTAGAAAACGTGTTCACGATAACTTTTGAGTAGCAACATTGACGATTTCATCCATTTATTGTTTGTGATATTCTCTGAACAGAACTATACTTTCGAGAACTGTATATATATTAATATGAATATGCGTTAAGCTGTCATAAAACTTCATACTAACCACCTCTAGAAGTAAAACTACTGTCAACTGATACTTCGGTTACCTTTTCTTTGAAATTATTTTTTGTTCTAGGATATTATTTCTTCCACAGAATCTTTATCAACAACAAACTTCGATAATCAGTCTGTTCAGCCAATTAGACAAGTGATGACTAGTAATAGTATACAACAAATAAGCAATTCGTCACTGGGTCGTATTCGTTTAACTATCCAGTTTCATTGTCTATCGAACTATTTAGAAGTAACAGTACATGAATGTCAGTAAGTAGTTCACTCGTATTTATGCCACTCTTATTGTGATACTTTAATTTTTATGCAGACATAAAACTACATACAAATATGTATGCTTAAATGAAGATTTATACTGACACTTTATATTGACATCTCGTTATTTTATTAATTAAAGCGCGATTTACATCATTTTCACTTCGGTAACTATAGGTAATTAGTAGGACAATTAGTCATCTCCGGCGGGAAGATAGGTACACATTACTGAGGGGTAGGGGTCCCAAACTGGAACGAAACAGCCGTCCAGTGCCTCTTGATTTTCGATATTTGTCTGGAATATAAGATTTGGCACTATATTTCAATAGGTGGCAAGCTTCAGAGAATGTTGCGTGTAAAAAATATTCACTTGGGGAGAAAAATGAAATCAGAAGGGGTTTTGTGGAGATTTTTTAGAAATTTCAATCGTTGAAATCATGAGTCAATTGAAGCTAGACCACCATGGAAAACCTGGAATCACTGGACGGCCGTTTCGTCCTAATATGGAACTCCTCAGCAGTGCTCGTCCACGATCCCGCCCCCCGCGTGATTCGAACTCAGAACCTGTCAGTATCGCGCGCGAGTGCTTAACCGTTAGACCACTGAGCCGGCCGGCATCCAACGGTGTTACCAGGACGAGACGGCCGTCCAGTGCTTTCAGGTTTTCCATGGTGGTCTAGCTTCAATTGACTCATGATTTCAACTATAGGAAAATGAAATACCAGGACAGTTAGGAGAATAAATCAACACTTCTGTTTGAGAACATTTTTCAACCATACACATCACAACCCTAAGAAATGAATAATTCTAACTTGAACTACTGAATTTCACCAAGTAGTGTGTTGCATCACGTTAAAAACAAACGAGATCGGAAGCAATACATATGTATTAACCCAGTGTTCAACTTCATTCATTTATCACATGATGTAAAATAACTGCATCTGACTTAGTATAGCTCATTTGTCTTAGATTTTTAATTCATCCATCCTCGATTTGTTGAGTTTATTATTGATATTTTTATTTCCTATCTCATCCCTATGTATGTAGACATTTAAGCGGTGTTGATAAAGACGGTCTATCTGATCCATATGTAAAACTTTATCTTATGGATTTACACGACAATGTGGTCAGTGATTCAAAAAAGACTAAAACTGTTAAAGATAATTTGGATCCAAAGTACGAAGAAAAGTAAGTTAGTACATGTGTATGTATATATTATATAAGATATTTGTTATTAATTCTTAGTTTGTCATCCGGTATTATAAGTGAACATTCAGATTAAAGTAAATTAAACGGTTGATAATGACTTTGAATTATTAAATTACTACTTAATATTACACGTTTTCATAATGTTACTGTGTTAGTCTTAAAATATTATCAATAAAAATGTACTCATTTTACCTCAAGAAAGTGCTACACTTTTTAGGAATCGATTCAATGTACTCATCAATTTGCGTTCTAAGTCTTCGGAATGCTCTGCACTGTCTCAATTTCTAGACATTTTCTCATATGATACCATTTTTACTTTCTATTGTCGCGCTACCTTGGCCTTAAAAATAAGCATATAATTTTTTTTTAAGTATCTTGCTTCAAATCCTGAGAATATATATTGTTTCTCTTTTGGGATGAATTTTTGTCTGTTCCTGTAACACGCATAAATTTCCCAAGTTTATAATCGTTACTGATTACATGTATTTCTATGTCACTAATATTTTTACACCCCAAGTGCTTCTATCACTTTCATTTGCTACCTACCTATGATTGGTGATGTAATGAAAACCCCACATATGATTAATTTTATTAATTTCTCATGCAACCAAAGAACTCCATTGATTGGGAATCAGTGGTGAGAATTGTTTATAGATTGAACTAATTGAACAAATACAAAAGTGACACATATTTTTCATAACTGTTGAACATATACTTCCTAAATTATAAGTAACAATATTTCAGTTTTAATTAAAGGTTTTTCTCCTCATCTGTTACTCAATACATAAAAAAGATAGGTAACATCTCATGTTATAGTTTCCATCTGTATGTATGGAATATATACGTACGTTTAAATATTTACGGAAGTGACTGTACTCGCCAAATTAATATGCTGTGTTCAGGTACTATACCGTTCGAAGTTTTTTTTTGTTCATTCTAAAAACAGTTTTGTTGGAAAAGTACCTTTGATGGATATTGTCAGATCATGAACATATACTGTAGGAAGCAATTTCCTACAGGTTTAATTCTGAGATATTCCCTAGACCGTCGAATACAGAGTCTTGGTTTGGCCCAAGTACAAACAAGCAAGTAATTTGGCTAGACAAACTTTATCTGTTTTAAAACATAAATAAACATCGTTAGTGTACAAACAAACAGTACGGTCTATTAATACAGGGAAAAACAGACAAATAACATACCGAACAGTAGCCAGAGAATAGTAAAAATGAGTCAACAAAGCAAATATTGTTTTACGATGAACATGAAACTGTGATTGGTTAATAAAGAGATACAGTCACACAAGGTCAAAGGGAGTTAATGTGGTGGTGGGTGTTTCGCTTTATTATTATTGGGTTCGTCTATCGATCACATTTTACATATACTTTAAAAATCTGCGTTATTTAAACTATAGTATTATCTAAAAACGTGGTAGTCTCAGATCAGTACCACTACTACTCTGTTTATTAACTTCGGTTTCAGAAAACATACAGTACTGATCTCACAGTGTATTACCTTCAATTATTATTTATATACAATTGTCTATTAATTACGTCTACTTGGTATTATTTTCCTCCCTTTTATACTTTAGTTTTCAATTTCCGATTGAGGCTGACCACCTTCCATTAACCATTCTAAGGCTGGATATCAAAAATCATGTTGGGCGTTTTACACGTAGTGGAAAAACGCATTTCATTGGAACTTTGTCGATAAATCTTATTGATTCAGTAGACGGGAAAGCTGATACTAAGTGGTAAGTTTAATGCTTTATTTTCTTATTGTTTCTTTTTAAATAAATAGACGTTTGTATTGCTTTTTAGAACTAAGGTAATAATCATAACTATCGAAGTATTTCACTCCACTTGTGAAATATTTAGCATTCATATAAACACTATATGTGTTTTTTATCCTCATAAAATTCAATCTTATTGCAAAAATGTATTCATACGTGTATTCAGAAATTAATTTCAACCCGGATGGTTGAATTCCAGCTAAACACATGGTGAATATCATGTTTAGTTATTTTGTCCCTCAATATATGGAAGATGGAGTCGAATAAGCTCATTGTTCAGATTATTTTTAGTCACTTCAACCTGATGGTTTCTGCCTATGTGAAGGTACATCTATTCAACTAATGATATCTGTTATGATGAGATTATGCATGATGTTTTATGAATCTGGTTCATTGATTAATGTCTATCTTTAGATATTTTTTCATCAATTGGATTCTAAAGTGAAACACTGTCTGCTATTGGAGACTTTGCGACTAAATGAAGCGAGATTTTCCTTGGAAAATAATATAAATCAAGCTATTTACTCAGGTTAATAACACAAGAGTTAACAACAAATTTATCGACTTCCAAGTGTGAAAGGTTTTGGTTGTAACCAACTACACTTGTATACCTCAAAATATTTTCTGCATGTTTCGAGACAAATTATTTTTTGTTCATGATATATTTTAGGATTATTCTTCTAAAACTATATTCCTCGCAAGTGAGAAACCATTATGACGTTCATGTAGATGCTTAATTTTTGTTTTTCAGTATTTGTTTTGACCAATTAAATTCATAGTAACTTCTCAGGCTTTGTGCAAAATTCAGATCGCAGTGAAAGACGGCATGTGTCTTATTAGGAATAAGGGAAATCGTCAACATTTAGTTATAAAAATACTGAGAATTGATGTAAATATCTTTTACGTAACCACATAGTGAATATGAGATTGTGCGTAAACTATATTAAATGAAATCTCTGCTCACTAATGCAGCTTATAAATTAGAATACTTGAAATGACTCAATCCATAGTCAAAGACGTTCGTATGGCCCAAGCGTATTTTCCTACTTTAAAGCTTCCAACCACAACCGTTCTTACCCTAACTCATAAATTTACCTAAGCTCTCATTAGTTAATTATAAATCTTTTTCTTTCACTATAATGAACAACTCAACTTGTAAGGGTCGTTATATCATATCGAAACTACTTTTTTCACTGTGATTGTATTGCTTCCTATCACTAATTTTTTCTTTAAATAAACATCTTTCTGATTGGCTGGTGAAACACCAAGGTTGACTTTACTAAATAACTTCCTATATAAATTTCCTATTCCTACTGATTAGTTAATGTTGCACCAGTTTTTAGCTTCTTTATGCCTAAAGTAAAATGGAATGTTGAGCTTTTGTTTCTTTCTATTTAAGGTACGACTTGGGGTCACCCATTTTTCGACCATAACTTCGTCTTTTCTTGTTCGATATACATGCAGCTATTGTCTCTATGTTATTTGGTCTTTATTCATCTTGCACACTCAATGTCTGCAGTATTCTTTAATAATAATTAGTTACTTCCATAAACTGTTGTCTCTATTTCTATTCAATAAGTGTGATTTATTTTAATTTTTGCTTTTCTGTGTATTTACCTTCACTAAGAAGCATGTATATTTATATTTGCCATAATATCATATTTTTATAAAGAACAATTGTTAATGGTTACTATTTACAACTCTGAAAGTGTATGAAATTTTATTCTATGACCTACTACTGAACGTTCATTTTTGCTTACTTATTTCATGTTGCCATGTGCGTCATATTGTAATCTTCCTTTAGATTCTTTGCTTTTTGAGTTGCATTATTTTTTTCACATCCATAGTGATATAACCGCCATTACTGCTACATCGAAAATTTACCTACCTAGAAAGTTGTGGCCTATTTAACTAATATATTTCTTGTGTTGAATAGTCTTTTGTGCTTAGATTTACTCATACTTTGAAAATAGAATTTCTTTTCCATAGAGTTCAGTGGGGATTGTAGGTTGATCTTACATTTTTTTGTATTTCTCGGGGTTGACAAAGCTTGTTCTCCATCATGTATTGGTGACTTACGATGCGATGGTTAGGTTTATTATTAGAGCAGTACTAAAATTGTAGTAGACCATAACTCTACAGGTCTATACCAACTGAGATAACTGCACCACGTAACACGTATGTCTGTCCACTGTTTCCTTTGGTGTACGATGATAAATGTTGTAGGAGTAAGTCATAAAAAAGATTTATGAGACCATATCAAATCGTGGCATCAGTCCATAAATAAGCTAACTGCTGGACTGAGCCGTGCACTCAGATACAGATTGCTTCGTCAGTGTGTTTCTTACATTCTGTATTTAGATTTTAGCTTCAAATGTTTGTGTTTGATAATCTTCGAACTCAGAGAACTAATACACGATAAGCATCTATGTATAATGGTCCTGCGTGAGGCTTGTCTTATTATAACTGTCAGTGACAATATCCACATGTTTCAAATGACCGACCCGATACGGTCATTATTGACACATTAACCCACGCAAAATCTACATTACCAGCATCAGTAACCTACGGTGTAATGTAAAGCAGTGTGTAGTTTGATCTTGGATCCTGACCGTTATGTGTATATTCGAGATCACTCGAAACTCCTGCTCCCCTGGGGTGAGTCAACCGCTTCTAAGCTCTTTTTATTTACCTATTTCAAAATTAATCTCGATATTAGAAACTAGATAACAGGAGTAAGCTTATTTGAAACGCATCTCAGCTTACCCGCTTCAGAATAGATCAACAATGGTATAGGCTGGACTGAACCGATTATAGGAGTTTAACGATTTATTAGTCTTATACCTTTTGGAACTAAGCAACCTTGCCTTTGATTACTTTTTTTATCTCCATGACTGATTTACCAGTTATATGCACACTATATAATAATCTATGACTACGGCATTTGTAAGCAATCTGAGGTTTTGTTAACATTTCATACACGAAAACTTCTAAGCTATTCACCGAGATGAAATCTAGTTCCCGCAGATGTATCAGCAATAGGCACGTTACTGGAATGAATGACATCACCACAACGTTGCATGTAGCTGGTCGAACTATAAATCAATACATAATAGGCATACTTTTAAGACAGAATTTGACAGAATAACCTGTCAATTTCGTCTGATAAAGCATGCCACACAATTTTTTGAAGAGCCAGGTTCATACCACTACTTATTATGAACCGGAATAATACACAATCAAAATATTGTCACCCTTAGGCTAAGGTCCAAAGAACTTCCCACTAGTTCCTACCGTCCTAACACAGTGCTATCCATAAACTATCCATCCATCACCACGGCAAAATAAAAACTGGACTGTGAGTCTCTAAATTCAAGTCACTTTTGAGGCGTCCAAAGTCATATAATCTCCCGGTTTTTATGTACTTAGACTGAGAGTTCTGATAGAATGTGTTGATCGATATTGTCCCCTCTACTCCTTAACTCAATTGCTCAGTGCAAGAATGGATTACTTTCGTCGAAAAGAGTTCGTTTCTACACTCGCACAAAAAAGACGACAAGGTAAATGCCTACAACTACCAACCGATTTCGCTGCTATATGAAGTTATAAATCATCAACGTAGATGATCTATGTCGGAAAGACTGGAGGCCTATTCGAGGTTGACGTGAACGATGTGACAAAGTAGCTAATGTCGAAGTCACACCTCATGGTCAGCACCTTACGTGGACTACCCCATCGACGTATCAAGGTACCATAGATGCTTTGAAGACTGTACAACACAGAGGACGTTATCACAGAAATATATTAGCTAAAGTAAATACAAGCGAAAGTGAGACCACTGCCGCATGGGCCAGTCCATAGCATACGATTAACTGATGCGCGTTGGTTGCCCCTGATCTTGGCGGGGTTCGATGATTTGCCCGATATTCAATGACCCAACTGCCGGATGATTTGGATAGGGCTTAGTGACATCTCGCTGGCCCTACAATACTCTCCCACCAGATTCAACAGCCGTTTGAATCGGTACCAAACACGTTAGGAGTTGTTGCGCACCCATATCACCAAATGATTCATATGAATCCACCGGGTATTGCTGAGCTGTAAAACAAAACGGAAAATAGGCGGCAGAAACTGATCGGGAAAACAGCGAGTAATGATATATTAGTAGGACGTTGGTTAAACGTAAAGCGAGTAACCATAGAAACAATGAAAAGAACAAGGCGTTTAATTGTTCTATCAAGTCGCCCTGAAATATATGGCTTTGAGAAGTAATTCAGTTCCTCCGATGAGCAACGTTTAGTTTGCCGCAAGAGTAATGATGCTATAGCGATAGTAGAATAAGTGTATTATCAGTTGATGCCGATGTCCATACTGCCACTGATCTGGCTAGGGCTTAGTGACATTTCGCTGGCCCTACAAAGTCGTGAAGGTTATGGAAAGAACGAATAAGTCTCCTTAACTATCTCATAACTACTCTGTACTTTCTATACCGCAACATAGTTTTTTACTCGATAAATCCTGTATTATAATACAGTTGGGTAAATAAAATAGCTTGGTGATCTCGCTGAACAATAATCATCATGTTTGTATTAGATCCATAGATTTGTCTAGGGACACTTGTCCGAGTTGACTATTTTATTCCCTTACCTTACGAAAAATATTTCCTTGAAACGTGTTCAAATAAGCGTGACCAAGACGATACTCAATCTAGGATATAAACCACATTCATGATGTCTAAAATCTCTGAATTGCAAACCAGTGCCGTGTGGACATATTAATTGTCGTGTAATCTTGATATATCATATTGGTCATCATACCTTTCACTCCACCAGATCGAAGATATCCTTTAGTAATAAACTAAATTTAAGAGGAAAGTTGACTAGGATACAACGAACAAGAGAGGCCACAGAAATCTAGGCATTATGTCTCATAGTTTGAATTGGTAAGTTGTGAGTTTCCCTACCGAGTCCAGTGATAACGTCCCATCCTGCGGAGTCTTTCACGGGAAGGACCAATGTTAACCCTATTGATGTAGCAAATGTGGTGAAGTTGCTATTATAATAGTCATCTTCAACTAAACGATTGAGAATGAATAAAGTAGTTAAGAACCCCGATTCAAATAGTCATGAATGCATATTCCAGTATTTCAATAAACTGAAATTTACGGTGGTATTAATGGTAATCAAAGGACTATAGAACTGAACAGATACTAGTTGAGTGATGTTATACTACTATTGGAATTATACTAGAACCAGACATCCCCATAACTGAATTCTCTCTATATCGACATTGACATAAGTTTCACTAGTAATTGCTTTGGGATATAATAAATCAAGTATTATTTTAGACCAGCCTAATATGCACTGAAGTAAATCCATAAAGTCCAAAGAGTCAGTCAATACGTCTCAAATTTATATAGACCGATATAATGATAAAAACTGATCAAAAGATATAAATCTTGACAATCAACCAGACAAAAACAGTAAAATGACTAAAACACAACACACTTGAATTAGTCAATCAACTTGGTTGAAGTAATTCACTTGATATTCACATATTCCATCAGATAACGCTTGACAGAATAATCTTGTAGTCCCGTGAATTTAAAATGTTTCGACTAATTATCATAGTACTTGTTGTGTTACATCTCGCTATTCCTAATATTGACTAATTTGTTCTTGCCACACATTTTCAAGTAACATAACTCTGTATCCAAAACCTATCTCTTTCTATTCGAATTCATATCACGGAGAAAAATACTCGTCTTACTCTAACTGTTAGAGTTTACAGTTTACCGATTGAAGTGTTTGACCGTATCAACTAAAACCTTATCTGTCCTAAGCGCTTGTTTCGTTTCGAATGATGTCGACTCGAGAATGCCAACAAAATATTCGAGTAGCGGTTCGTTGTCGGTATGTCACCTGCATTTAATGTGTTGATTCTGGTCAGGCCTATCAATAAGCAGGAGCTGGAAAAGGCCGTGCGGTCATGTGTGGAGTGTAGCCGGGAAAAAGTAACAGTCAGAGATAAATGTATGTCAAAGGTTTTCACCTTTGATCATGTCTTCAATCAATACTCGAAGCAAATCGACGTCTACAAAAGTATGGTTGCTCCAATGATTGAGGAAATAATTTTGGGCTATAATTGCACAATTTTCGCGTAAACTTTAATGCATCTAATTAACCTTTATAGTTACGGTCAAACAGGTAGTGGTAAAACATTTACGATGACTGGTGAAAGATCTGACAAGCTTCGTTATGAGTGGGAAACGGATCCACTCGCAGGGATTATTCCTCGCGCCCTAAGTCACTTGTTTGAAACTCTGCAATCAAATGTATGTTCTCTTTAACGAAAGTAATAATCCTCCAGGGTTCTGACTTTTCTGTTCGCGTATCTTTCCTAGAAGTTTATAATGAGGAGTTATTTGACCTTCTGTCTGCCAGTGAGGATGTCACACGTTTAACAATATACGACGATGTAAACCGTAAGGGCTCTGTTATTGTCAAAGGCCTTCGGGAGGTAGTGGTTTTGGACAAGGATGACGTTTACAGTGTTATTGAGCGAGGAATAGCTAGGCGTCAAACTGCTTGTACTCTTTTAAATGCTCAGTCCAGGTACGTGGGATTTGTCTCTTACTTTTAGTCGCTCGCACTCTATTTTCACGGTTACTGTCCATATAAAGGAGATAAATGCGATTACTAGTGAAGAATTGCTGCGTATTGGAAAATTGCACTTAGTAGACCTTGCTGGCAGTGAAAATGTGGGGAGATCAGGTGCTGTTGAAAAGCGAGCACGTGAGGCCGGGTCAATCAATCAAAGTTTACTGACTCTGGGTCGTGTAATAACTTCACTTGTGGAACACGCTCCACATATACCGTATAGAGAAAGTAAACTTACACGTTTGCTACAGGTAACCAAGACCTTCATTGTCTT